CAGACATGACGTGCGGCGCATGGCGGCACCCCTGAGGACGAAGGGCCTGGGTTAACTGCGTGCCCTTCTCAACTGTTCCGTAGGAGCGCTGCCCGACAAGGGGGACCTGATGCACGACCCAGCCATGGACGAAGAGCTGGAACGGCTGTAAGTGTCCCGTGGGGAGGTGCTGCCCCCTTGTGGGCCCAGCCTGGCAGCCAAGGCTTGCCCGTCCTGGGTCGTGCAGCGCTTGCCCAGCACCTCGCGTTGTCAGGAAGGGGTCTGCGGGCCAACAGAAGTCTGGGGATCTATCCGGAGTCCTCTGGGCCACAACCCACGGGTTTATGCAGGTGCAAGGGTGACATGGAGGTGCTGGTCTCTGGACAGAGGCACCTTGCTGCCCTCTGGGCTTCTTCCCTCCCTCAGGCTGGTCCAGGTCCCAGGTCTGGTCAACTCGGTCACTGCCAGTCCAGAGGCCAGCTGCCTGCCTTCCCGGACCCCTCCCCGGGTTGGCTCCCCATGGAGACCTCTCCACCGCTCCCACAAAGTGGATGGGGAGAGTGACGGCTCCACTGAAGAGACAGACGAGTCCGAGACTTGAGGAGTCTGGAGGGCCCCGCTGCAGCGCCCTCTGCCCGCCCCACCAGCCCCTGGCACTCACCCCTGCCCACCTTCTCTCCTGCCTTGCCACGCTGCCCTCTGCTGGCCAAAAGCTGAATAGCGCCCCAACCCAAGCTTGCCCCAGGGCTTCAGTGACCCTAAAAGTTACAGCCTGCTCTCCGACTGCCAGGCCAGCACGTGGCTGGGAAGGACACTTGGCCTTGGTCGTTAGTTACCAGTCCTCCCACCCTAGAGGAAGAGCAGTCTCTTCTCGGCCAGCCTCTCCTCAGTCCCCGATAAGGTTCATCTCCTCACAGCAACTCCATTAAATGGGGGATCGTGAACAGCCAGGCCGGGCTTCACATGGTCCAGGGTGACCCCTGAGATGCAAGTGTTGGGAGGACATACCACTGTGGCCTTCTGCTGGAGGGACAGCCACTAGTCACGATAGGATGAGGGTGGGCAAGACTTCACTTTCAGAAGTGTGTGTCGTCTCCTGTGTCTAAAGAGTTAAATGTGTGAAATGAATAAAGTCCCTCGTGTCTGGCAAGTGGTGAGTCTAAAGCCACCAGGTTGAAGGGGGGAGGGGGGATGAGTCTGGGTTTTTGGTGCTCTTCTGGCCATCCCAGGGGGTGGGGAGCCAGCGGGCCACTCAAGCCAGGAGACCTGCCTCAGAAGATGTGCACAGGGGCTGTCCAAAGGCACGGTGCTCCAGTGCAGAGGCCTTCAGGACCAAGCTCGGGGGCTCAAGGCGGGGCCCCATAACCTGAAAGACCCTGGTACAAGGGGTGAGCACTGCGTGCGTACCTGCTGGCCAGGGTTCCCCGTGCCAGGCTGAGGGAGCAGGGACGCAGCTGTGAACAAGACTGGCCGGAGGGGTACGTGCCATCCAGCTGTCCCCTGGGAGGGAAAGACACGCGACCTTCGACTTTACTGGAATTACGTTAGGGTCCCCCAAAAGTAAAATCCACGGAGACCCAAACAGAACAGGCTGCCTCCTATAAATCCAGGTCACTACCGGGTACGTGCTTTCTGGCCTCGCCCCTACCCACCCCCACCCCATCCCACTGGGTAACTGTGGATGGGAACTGGCTCCCAAAGCCCTGGTGCCCAGGCCAGGCCCAGGAGTTCTGGTGCTGAAGGTTCTCCAGGCCACACAGAGTCCACTAGGCCCAGTCACCTCCTGCCTCCGGCCACAGAGTGTTTCTGAAATCCTGGAGTGCATCCGAGTCACAGGGAAGCTTGCTGTCAAGGCAGATTACCAAGTTCCAGGAGTCTGACTACAGCCTGGACAGGGTCCAGAAGTTGTTTAAGGTTTCTGCTATAGGGTGCATGTGTTCGCCAGAGACAGAAATAGAGGGAAAGTGAGAAATCACCTTCCAGGGGGGTGGCCACACCATAATCCCTTCTCCACATTTTTGGTGTACACACACACGCCTGGCATGATTTTCAGGCCACTGATCCTGGACTTGAACTTCAAGTGGCCATGTGGGAGTCCAGCACCTTAACTACTACGCCACCTGCTGGCCCGTCTGTTTTTTTTTTTTTTCTTCTTTTGGAGAGGCTTTTGCTATAGGGCACATGTGCTCGCCAGACAGAGACAGAGAGACAGGGATTGCAGCGTGGCCATCTGGCCATCTGGCCACGCCGCAATCCCTTCTCCTCCACTCTCCTCTTGGGATCTTGGGCAGGCACACACACGCACCCGGAGTGAGTTTAAGCCACCGGGTCCAGGACTCGAACCATGGTTGACTACATGGGAGTCCAGTGACACAGCCATTACAGCAACTGATGGTCCCTCGTCTGTTTTTTAATAAACACTCCAGATGATTCGTTCCAAAGCTGGAGTCCCAGATCCACACTGTGCATGTCACTGGCTTAGAGCTCCATTGCCCCACGTGCATCCTTTCTGTTACCCTCCTGGGCCTGTCACCCTCCTGGGCCGGCGGTTCAGAACAGTACCATAAGGACTCCAAAGAGGCACAGAGCTGTTTCCAAAGCCCTGGGAGAAAAAGGCCAGCCAGGCCAGGGGCTCACACACAAGGGCACCCCTTTCTATGGAAGTGTTCCATTCCAGTCTGCACTTTAAGCTCCATGCGTCGGGTCCCGGTCACGCCTGTTGCCGTGACGAGTACCGAGGCAGCCTGCCAGCCCTCGGCCCCACGGCTGGGTAGCCCAGCTACAGGACCGACTAACACTAGCTCTTTCCTCCGCGTACAACAGGGTGGTGAGGTCGAGGCTGCACCGGACCTCGCGGCAGCACAGGGCCGAGGAGCTGGGGGCCTTTGGCTTTCAGAGAAGAGACAAGCTGGAGGCCCTGGAGCAAGCGCCTTCAGCTTCGGCACCGATGTCCCACCCATACCGGTGGGGTCCGAGAGAGTGAAGCGAGGGCACACACGGGGCAGGGCAGGACCCAGAGAGGACACCACTGCAGACGGGCGGGGCCCAGGGCCCCACGGGCGCTTTATTTTGACACCACTTTGTTTCAATACAAATAGTCCAGAAAGTCAGTCCCGTCCCTCTGGGGGAGGGATGGGAAGAGTGGTCTGTTGCTTGGGGGCCCAACCCGCAACCAGAGGCAGGGCCTGGGCCCTCACTGCCAGCATGGCAGGGAAGGATGGCACCAAGGGTGACACAGTGCACGGCCCAGCTGCCACAGGGGTGGCCCACAGCTCTGCAGCCCCTCAGGCTCTCATTGGGGGTACTGTCCAGGCTGCCCGAGCCCCGGATGATGCAGAGGAGGGAGTGGAGCCCACAGCCTGTCCCTTGCGTTCTCCACTTCCTTGGCCAGTATAACTAACAATCAGCAGCATCCAGGGTCAGAACACAGGCACATGAGACCCACCACAGCCACCGGCCAGAGGAAGAGGGGACAGAGTCTCCACCAGGGGGACGTGGTATGGGAGGACCAAGACACCCAGGCGTAGTCCTCCTGGGGTATGAGACAGAACGCACAGGCTTCACCTGATCCCCGAGACCTTTAGGTACCAGGGGAAGGCTCTAGCCCTTAGTGAGACCCAGACGAAGGTCCTTTCCCTCACCTGACCCTCGGGGTACCCAGAAGAGGTCACACACAGGGAACAGCAGCAAATGCAGAGCCTCCCTTCCATGGGCTGGTCTCTGGCAGAACTTTCTAGGCCTCCACGTGGTTCCCAAAGACAGGCCCAAGGATCCGAGTGCCAGCAAAAAAGCCTTAAAACACTGTTCCTTTTCCCTACCCCGGGAAGGCCTGGCCCAGAACACGCTGCCCTGGGGCAGCTCCCACCCCTCAGGCCCAACGTGGCAGGGCAGGGAGCAGCAGCTGTGGGCAGGGTTAGGGGACAGTCGAGCGCGCAGAGAGGGTGTGAGAGAAGAGAAGGGCTCGATCCACAGGCAGAGGACAGGGCGGGTACCAGGCACTCCCGACCGCAGTCCTCGAAGGCCACCCACTCACACCACACAGAAAGCAACCACTCCTCGGCTTCCATGAGGCAGGCGTCCCTGGCTTGAGAATCACGGGGCTCTTGCCGCTGTCTCCGCGATATGCCTGAGTCACGGAGCCGGATCAGTAGGAACCATAGCGATCCTGGAGTGGAAGTGAGAAAAACCGTCCTGAACCCGCAACAGCTTCTCAGCGTGACCCTGGCCTCCCCAGCACCTGCCCACAGCAGGATGGGGCTGCAGGGGACTGTGCACCCCCCACCAAACGGGGGAAGCCTGCTGATCTCACCGAGGCTGGGGAGGAAGGAGAGGAGGAAGGGCAGGGAATCGGTGCAGAAACCGCAGCATGTCAGAGGCCCGGCCTGCGCAGCACTGGAAGGCAGGCAGCCGCCCCGCCCCACAAAGAAAAGGCCTTTCCTTTCAGGCAGAGGCGCTCCCTGGCAGCAGAGTCTGTGCGCAGTGGGAAAGGCCAGCCTCCACGCATCCCTGTGGGCCCCCGCCCCAGCCTCACCTGCAAAGAGTTCATCACACCATTGGCCAGCACGGCCATCTTCCCAGCCACAGACTTGACGCCCTGCTTAAACTGGGCAATGTCAGCGGTGGGGAGCACGTTCCCCAGAGAGACGCTTCCTGGAAAGGAAAGGGCAGGGCTGACCCAGAGCCCAGCAGGAAGCCCTTCCCAGTCGTAGTCCCGGCTCTGCTCCTGGGTCTCGTGTGCCTGCCACCCCACTGCGCCCTACCTGCTCCATGAGCTGCATCCACGTCCCCAAAGAGGT